GGGCCGTTTTCAAAACACCACCCCGCAGCCAGTGGCAGTTGTGGGTTGATGGATGGTGGATGGAGGAAGCAAGGTCCAGCCACTCACAAAGGCATCTGATTATTACTGAACCTCCCCCTTCCTCAGCAACTCTTAAATATCCAAGTGTGATACTTAATACAAGAAATGCTTATCCTTTATGTCTCAGCTGAGCCACACCTTTGCATTCTATGTATTTAAACACAATTTGTGTATTTCAAATGTTTAAGCTGTCAAGATTTGACAGTTATATTGCATATATTGGTCCCCTTTGCAGGGTCCTTATCTGGCAGTCAGTGCAAACAGTATGGGGGCCAAAACTACCAAAAATGGACAGAAGTTTTACTTGAGTTCCATCATCAAAATAGAAACAACTGTCACTTTAAAATCAGAAATGCGGCATTTGTTTAAACTGAAGATAAAAGGTCTTTCACATATTAAACAAGAACACTTTTCTGTGTATTCTTGCTGTTTAAATTAAGTTTCTGTATGTTGAGGAAAACATTAAATAAAATCCAACTACTTTTAAGTATTTCAGTTATTACTAGGTAATGCCATTACCTCCTTTCACATTCACAGATGCACAAATATTTGTAAACCCCAAACAAAATAATGCCCATCATTTTCTGTACAGTACAGTCGTGTGCTAGTGTGTGCAAAATGCACCAAAAAAATGACAAACATTTTTAACAAAACAAATAATGATATGCCACAGTATGTTTTAAGAACAGTGGCTGTAATCCATTTAGCAGCTTCAGTTTCTGGGTTCCAGTGTTGTGAATGCCAGGTCATTGTCTATACTTACTGGGACATAAAATGAACACAGCAATTGGTAATGTTATTAGTAACATCTGAGCTTTTCCTATGGGTCAGTGATTACAGCTATAGTGATAGTGTTCGAGTGTAAAGTACATCAGCCTAAAGTGTTACAATCTCTGGTGACAACTAAACCAGCTACAGGTTTGTGCCTTCAATAAAAGTACACCAAAGTCCTGAATCAACTCTTAAACCGACTGTTCACAACAAACCTCTAATCAGATGTGAATAGGAAGCAGACCACGTGTAATACAAAAAGCCCACACAAGAAAACAAGAAATGTGCATATACAGTAGTTTGTATTTTTCATAATTTGTGTTGTGTGCTACTGGCACGAATTATGAAAGAACAAAGCTTAGGAATGCACCTCCTGTCTCTGTCTCTGTCTCTGTCTCTGGAGCGAGACCGGCTCCGACGACTGGACCTCCGGCTCCGGCTGCTGATCACCCTGCTACCAGACGATGAAGACGAAGAAGAGGAAGAGGAGGAGGAACGTCGCCGTTGTTTTCTCTTCCTCCTGCTCCGACTGTCATCCTCACTGTCAGATGAGCGCCGACCCATGCTGGCTGACAATTGGCATAACATACACAAGAGTAGAGTTTAGCGTTAAGCAATCTCTCGGGCAACCTTTAGCCACAATTTCATACAAAAACTAAGCCTAACGTATGGACATGAAGATACGAGACAACTTAACAACGCCAGTAGTACATTTCTCTATATATTTCATGTAGATATACATAACTATGTATTATTGTAGCACCACACAGTTCTAAATCAGCAGATCAACAGAGCTAGCAAACACAGGATGTACTGTATCTTAGATTAGCAACCCCATGCAGGGAAGTACAGTTATCGTTATGCGGTTTAAATCACCCGAATACGTGTTACAACACTGCTTTCGCACATAATCATAACGGAGATACATAAACATTTGTGTTTTCTGTGGAGACTAGCCAACGGCTAACGGTGCTAACTCCTCTCACGTTAGGATGTAGCTCATGCTAACGTTACGTTAGTTCGTGTTTTGGACGAAACCTTGTAGCTGCCCGAGAGAAACATGTCTTACATTGTAGTCAGTAGACGTTATATGAAGATCAAATATATCTAGCACGACAAAAGCAAATACCCTGAAATGGAAAAACCCGCTCCTCACCTTTAAATTGTCACAGTCATACACGAACCCAAATGTGTACACTGCTCAGAAGACTCTACTCGTCAAACCAGAGAACATCTATCGCGCCCAGACTGCAGAATCGAACACGGAGCAATCGATGGCGTTACTACTCCTATCTTTTGAATTTGATTTTCTTGAATGAGTCCAAAGTTATTAAGTATTTTTGTTGTTGTAATTTTGAGCATAGTTCAAAAGTTGTTAAAAATTAATGTGAACCATCATTAATAAAGAACCCTCATACATAGTTTAATTGTGTTTATGCAGAGGATGTATTAATTCAGTGAGCTTATAATTAATTTCAATTATTGCACGACTAATGTTGGTTATTTGTAAGACGAATAAAAGACCTGTCAAAACTGAACATATGATGTTCATACCAGTGTGGCCGCTACTGACACCAATGACACTGACAGTCAGTGGAGCAGCAACAATTATTTTTAACTGTCAAGTTTTCAGGTATCTCTGTGCAATTCTTTTATTCCAGGGTCCAGTCAATTCAAAACCTTCGAAATGAATAGGATCATGGTGTTGATTCATGTATATAACTTGTCTGGGCTGCTATTTCGTTTTGATCTGATAATAACAAAATTCCCGAGTCGTAACATGTGAATGTGCATAAGATAATAAGATTTTACACCAGCATACACACACACACACACACACACACACACACTCTCACACACACACACACAGAGCTACAAGGGCAGGCAGCGCATCCAAACAATTTTCAGCAATGTAGAATCATTAATTAGGCATCTTCATGAAATTCAAAGACATATAACGGGGCTGAAGGTGGAAAAACCACTGTTGCACTGACAAAGTTTATGAGAGAATGGATCAATAACATGCATAATGTCTGATAAACAATTTAATGAGGGTTTCACTGCAAATAGATACAAGAGGCCGCTTATCACTGCGATTAGGAATTCATCCTACTTTCAGATGCAGCAGAAATAATAGTAATTAATGCCTAAGGTTCAAGCTGAAACATCGTTAATATTTAATAAGGGGAATTGTTAGAAGCCTTGTGTGGAAATAGGGCTTTATAAGGACGATCAATAAACACGCTTAATTTTGCATCAAATTCAACCCGACGTTTTCCAAATCCCGCTGTATCCTGTTACTAGTAAGGCTATATGTTGCCTCTTCTCCTCACTTAATTGCTCTCTCCGTGGCATTCACTTACCTTCGCCGCCATCGTTTATTTATTTTCGCAAATATAGGCAATCGCTGAAAACGTTAATTAGTGAGCCCAATGGCAAGGCATTGCAAGAGGCACTGTAATTAAACGTTTAGCTGCTATTTAACATCCTAATGGCTTAAAGAGACCATTGAGAATTAATATTAAGCGATATAGTCTCAGCAACGATGACCATTTAAAACTCATAATTGCTGATTAGAAGCACTGAATAATTTTTAACAAGGTGCCTAAACGTTTATAACAAGCTTATGTTTAATTTTCATACATTTTAACAGCTTAATGTCATGCATGTGTGATAGTATAGTCTACTACTACTATTGTTATTATTATGTGATAATAATAATAATAATAATTTCGTTTACTATTGGGCTTAGAATATAAAATTAATCTTCCACCGCCGCAGTTCTGCACATTTTTTCACATTAAAAACAATTTATTTCTAATTTTTGTGCGATAAAGTTCCGTTTCCAGCCAGTCGTGATGACTTGGAAGCACAGAAACACGCTGAAAACCTATGGATGATCTGCCAGGCCTAAAGCCAACTGTATGTGGGGTTAAAGCCAAATGTGTTCATGTGAGCTTCCTCTGAAGCTCACAAGTCGCTGTTGCTCCTCTCGGCATCTCCCGGCTGGCCCGCTTTTACCTCCTTTCTCTCCGTGTTTCACCCCCAGATCACGGAGCTGTAGTGAGGAAGGACTCCTCATCCATGTGCTTCCCACTCTCTTGTCATTTTCAGATTTTTTAAGCCACACCCCTGCAGAGAGAGAGAGAGAGAGAGGGAGAGGGAGAGAGAGAGAGAGGAGAAATCCATGACCATCTCCTGGGTGTTTAAAAAACTAACTCAGGACAATAGCAGCGAATGAGCGCTTAATTAAATTAATTAGTCCTTCTTGTCAATCTCGGATTAATGGCCAATAGCGACGGTGCTGCTTAATGTTTTTTTTTTGTTTCTCCCCTTCTCTCTCTCTCTTTCTTACATATCAGTGAAGGGGAAAGGGGGCTCATCCCGGCATCCTGAGGGGAGGTAATTTGCACGGATCAAGGGGGCAAGGCGCCGCAAAGTATAAATACTGTGACTTCAGTCGAGGATCACCAGCAGGTTCCCAACTCCGCTACCAAAGGAGGAGGAATTGGCTCAGAAGATAAATCTTCATCCACATTTTAGGCTACCTTCTTCCAGAGTTGGCAGCATCACTTCGTATCGTTTTCAAGGGGTCTACTTTAAAACGAGCCACACCATTGATGTCTTAAGCTGTCGTGGAGCAAAGGGAGAGAGTGTGTGAGTGAGTGTGTGTGATTTTTTTTTTTAAGAGGAGAGGAAGCAGTGATGGAAGAGCTCACCGCTTTCGTGTCTAAGTCTTTCGATCAGAAGGTGAAGGAGAAGAAGGAAGTGATAACCTACAGGGAGGTGTTGGAGACCGGGTCGACGCGAGCAGGGAGCAGGGAGCCTTTATCCGCGGAGCCGGGGAACCGAGAGGAGGCGGCCGCCGTCAACAGGAACGTTGCGCTCTCGCCGGGCAGGGAAACGGACATGCTCGGCCCGGAAAGAATCAGAGACGCCGGGAGCCCCAAACTCATTGACGGTAGGAGTGCGTGGTGTGCAGTCTTTACCTTGAACAGAGACGTCTAGGGAACTTATAGAGGAGAAACAAAGTCTAGAGTGTAACAGGCTACACCGATCATAGCCACGCGTTGATGTGCGAAACAGAGTTAACACATCTTCATTTTGGCTTGCGATTTGGATCCAAACAGACAGGCCTACTGGAGATTCTGTAGTGTCGTATGTAAGTTACTGATTTTTCCAAGAGGGAAAAATCATCAAGCGGTGCTTTTCTGAAAGCATGGTTTGTTTTTGTTCATGTTTTCCTTGTGCACTCCTCAGAGGCTCTTTATATTTACTGAGACCACTGCAGCTTGGTGGCTTATGTCGTGCTGTGGTCCAGTTGAAAAGTTTCAATTCGTAAATGTAGTGCATCGGAAAAGGCCCCCGAACTATGATAAACAACAATTCAGGTCTCCTGGGGCAAACTAATAACCATTCTTGTGGGCTATAAGATGACAAGACTCAAGCCCAATGTCTTGCATTTTTTATAGGCCTATCACAAGTTTGTACAAAATAGCACAGGTGCGTTGTGGCTCTTTTTTGAACGCTGCAATTTAGCCTTGTTCATATTGATCAGAAGCCTTTTAACAATGGAGCTGGTTTATTTTTATTTACTGCACAAGCGCCATTGATTAAATCTGTATCTTTCACATATGGCGTCAGTGTTTCAGGAAGGCACCGAAATGACACAGATCAGTGCGAGCTGGACGTGCAGGCTCCTGTTTGCAGGTGTGACAGCACATCAAGATGGATCGAATACAAATCTGATGATGTCATATTACAAAAATCAATCGGTAACAGTAGATGGGAGAATTGGTTTGTGTTGTCACCGTCCACCGTTTTATATATAACTGCAAAACGAAACATACTAGCAAATGGAAAAAAGGGGGCAGGATAAAATCTTACTTTAATGGTTTAATTAAATGCAGAAATTAGCCTTTGTCTTTAAGGCTTTCAGCCAGACCCCCATATGATTCCCCTGTTTTTTCTCCTGTTAAATGACAACCTGTTCACCTGTCCTGTGCAGGCTGCTCACTGCGTCTTACTTGGAACAATGTGGGGGACACACAGGACAAGACATAAGAGTTGGGAGGCTTGTAAAAAACGACATCTGTTCGTCATAGGCTGCGTGGTTAAAAGCAGAGCTGCAACGAGCATGTATCAGACATCCAACAGTGGGCTCGGTGTTGCATATTTATAAGCAGTTAATAATTAAAGAGCTTTATGTAGCTCTACAAAACATCCGAGGTCTGATCGCTGTGTGATATTTGAGGGCTGGGAGGGCACGTCTTTCTTTCTCCCATTCTTTCTTCAGCATCACCAAATTACTATGATCAAGGCTTAAATCCAACACGCGTAGGTTGATTAAAATGCGTGTCTCTTTTGTGTTGGCTCCTTGTTTTTAATAGCTAGATGGGGTGCATATTATTCTTTATTATAGCCTTTAATATGAAGTCCAGAGTCTGGGCAGCTACTTAGATTCATTTTAATAACAGGCCTGTGTTTTGAGTTGTATTACGTACTTTGCTTGTGAATGAAGCCTATTTTTAAGAATAAAAACCTTTTAAAAGATGCTATAAATATGTGATACTGAAGGCCATGATGGCCATACAGCCTGCATGATGTTGATGATTCCTTCTCTTTTCGACTGCCAAGGCACCACAGATGTGAAAGAAAGGAAAGAGGACTCGAAGCCCATAGAGGACGAGACACAGACTAAAATCAAACAGAGGAGAAGTCGGACTAACTTCACATTAGAGCAGCTCAACGAGCTGGAGCGGCTCTTCGACGAGACCCACTACCCGGACGCCTTCATGCGGGAGGAGCTTAGCCAGCGACTGGGACTGTCGGAGGCCCGAGTACAGGTAGGACGAGTCCACTACAAATCTTATACATAGAACCAGTATAATCAGAGGGTCATAGATGAAGCACTGACGATATATTTGATAGACAAAATGACCCTTACAGAGCATATTTTAAACCAGACAGTACAGTACAAACAACACCCCCAAACGTCACCATCATGGCAGTGTGGACGCAAAGTGGATGACATGGTGACCCAAAATTTTAAATTATATTATTATGATTATTATAAAAGAAGAAGAAAAATCTGAATGGCATAGAAGAAGAAATAAGAAGAAGAAAACTGAACACGTGTCTTCATTCTGTTTTTCCAAAACAGCTTGTTCTCACTGATTGTTTATTTGCCATTCAGAATAAATAAGCTCAGAGAATGATCGCGTTTTGTTCCACGGAGATGTTTCATGTAGAAATAAAATGTGCTCAGAAATACTTGCTAGCCCACAGTAGGCCTGAATTTGTGCAAGGTTCAGAGGAATCATTTGTCAGTTTCAATGAGGTGAACAGGTTTTTTTATTTTTATTTTTTTTCCTTAATAAAGAAACAGAGCTCGCCATCAAAACAGGATTATTTCCTATTATAGTCTGATGGGATTTTTTTTTTCTCTCTGTCTATTTTGATGATTTAGACCCTGCTTGTATCACGAGAGTCGTTTTAATCGTGACTGTCCAAATCCACCGAAACAAATATGAGCCTGTACATATTTGCCTTCAGTGTTTGGGGTTTGTTGCCACGGTCCTGTTTATCAGAGCTGCTGTGGGTTTTTCATGGGGACAGACCATCTGCGCAGAAACTCAGTAAGGTTTCAGTCAGTCAGGGGAGGGGAGGAGGGCTTCAGACAAGTCTGGTGCAACTGAAGGGGGGGTGGGGGGCATATAGACAATCACTGATTAATGAAAACGATATAATATCTAATTCCAGACTCTTTTTACGGTGCAGGGGGAGGACCCATCACTTGTCTAGCTATGGCGGTCGTTCTGGAAAAATGAAATCATAAAGCAGGCCCTAAAGATCCCCATCTCAAGCTCACCCCCATCCCCACCACCACCACCAAACACACACACACACACCAAAAAAAAAAAAAAAAAAAAAAAAAAAAAAATTAAACACCATTTTTTTCCAGGGCTCTCCCGGCCTGGACTGGAATCTCACCAGTAAGGCGTATTGTGTCCCGAACAAGGAGCAGAGCTCGGGGATTTACATAAATTATGTATTATTTTCCACCCAAATCAAGAACTCCTTCTCTCTGTCTTCTCTCTATTAGAGCGTTATGTCTTTCTACCAGCTGCAGACAGACACCACACATTTGTTTTGATTCCTTTTTTTTAACATTCTGATCCAACCAACATCAGCAGAGCATTTGCTTTTATCATCGCAATAAATTCTACCTGATGCATGCACAAAAGGACGTCCAACTGACGTGCACTATGGTCAGTGAATGAAGCCAGCTGACAGCCCGATCGATATGATATTTCAATCACGCGTTCCCTGTGTGTGTGTATGGACCTAATGTAAGGGAGATTGCAGGCTGACGTGCTGTATTGTGGGCTAATTTAGCCTGAGTTTTGTCTGGGAGATTCAAAGCAGATTATCATAGTAATAAATCGTTTAATCTGATGTTCCGAGGCGTTTCTCTGAAATTGACGCTTGTCGATTTCAACAGGAGGAAAAGAGAAGTGAATCGTCTTTGAAGCTTTTTTTTTGTGCAAGCCCGTGTAATGGCAGTGATTAGACAAAACTGCGAGGCATTTAAAGCATTTCTCTGACATGGATTTTCTGGAGATAAGGGTAATTAATTTCAGCGGACATTTAATGAGGGAGAGAGATGGAAGGAAAAAGAGGGAGATGCTCTCAGATCGTCTTGCTCTGATGCCCAAAAACCGTAATAGCTCTGCTGCTATTCGATATCCGAGAGTCCATTCAACTCTTCAGGGACACTAATCTATAGAAAGATAAAACCAACGCTGACAAGGTTATTTATTATCGTCCAGTAGTCCTGCACATTTCCAACAAGGATGTTTCTATTCTCCTAACGCGATTTTAACGTCCCCCTTTTTCGTAGCTTCACTATATGCTCCAACCCCCCACTTCCCCTTGTCGTAGACTAAATGTAATAATTAAAATCTGGGGTTAAGCAGTGTCATTAATATTTCAGTGCTCCTCGGGGATATTGTTTTTCTGCGGTTGTTGTCACTATGAGAGGAATTACACATGGCCTCACAAGCAGCTGCCAATCAGCAGGTCTCTAATTAATTTCTGTCCCTGCAGGTTTGGTTCCAGAACAGAAGAGCCAAGTGTAGAAAACAGGAGAACCAATTACATAAAGGTAGGCTTTTATCCTGCATGCTACCACAAAGACAAAACTGTAGGCTGGTTTCTACTCTACTCTACTCTACTCTGCTCTACTCTACTCTACTCTACTTTATTACATGGTAACTACATGCTCCAATGTATGTAACATCTTTCATCCTTACGCACTGTTACTCTTTGGGTGGTTGTTTCATTTACAGTTAATTATGCCATCCAAAGTACTGTGATTCCTTTAGTGTGCGTTTATTTTAGGCGTAATTAAAGTTTACTCCGCCAATCAGCTTCCTGCTCACTATTCAGGCTTACAGTTTGCTCTTTGTGCTTGTGAATATTCTCCTCTCAATTCGGCTATCATCTGTGTTTTGCAGGAGTCCTGATTGGTGCAGCCAATCAGTTTGAAGCTTGTCGTGTAGCGCCATATGTCAACGTGGGGGCTTTACGGATGCCATTCCAACAGGCAAGTTACTTTGAAGCATCTAGTCTTAAAACCAGACCAATCCCCGGACTGCTGTCTTGGCACAGGTTCTGCACAAGTGCAGAGACTCCAGTTCCAACGTAGGGGGTAACTAAACTCTTATTACCACACTGACAAACCCACTGTGCCAACACAGCGTAGTCTATGCAGCCTAACTGGAAAATTCCCTCTCTTTTTTTATGGACCATTTATATGGCTATGTTACTGGAGCAAGCAAACATATTAGTAGGCCAGACCTAGTGTAGAATAAATAGGCTGGCTGTGGCTTAACCAAGTCCAGGACTTCCTGGGTGTTTTCTTTTCTTGGTATACTGAACAATGCACCTGTATGTAGCCGGCACTATGGTGGACAGAATAATAAAAACTATGCACATATTTTATACTGCATTTGGTCTGAGTAAAGTCCTGTCCTCACTATGATCACCACTGGCCTGGTCTGGGTCTATTATCTTGTAGCCAAAGGCCCAAGACTCTCAAAGGCAATGAATGTTTGAAGTGAGTTTAGCTGTCATGCTGTTGATGTCCAAATAAAGACTCAAATTTGAACTTTGACAAGCTGGAGGACTAAACCCTGCATTACTAAGTGAATGATCACCCTGCCTGCTCACAGGAGCATACAGTTGAACCACACAACAGCCACACTAGTGAAATGACCCTTCAGACAACCCACTGCAAAGTTAACGCATGTTCTCCCCCTTCTCTCCCCTATCCGTGCGTCCCGTCCCGTAGGATAGTCATTGCAACGTGCCGCCCTTCTCCTTTCAGGTGCAGGCGCAACTGCAGCTGGACAGCGCCGTGGCCCACGCGCAGCACCACCTGCACTCTCACCTGGCAGCGCACGCGCCCTACATGATGTTCCCCGCACCGCCGTTCGGGTTGCCCTTGGCGACGCTCGCGGCCGAGTCTGCCTCAGCAGCCTCGGTTGTGGCCGCCGCCGCCGCCGCCAAGAACACCAGCAAGAACTCCAGCATCGCCGACCTGAGACTGAAGGCCAAAAAGCACACGGCCGCGCTGGGACTGTGACACCAGGAAGACACGAGGGGACACGAGGCGTGCGCACACCCATCCGGCATGTCCGGCTGAGAGACGCTGAACACAGACGCTTACAAAGTGCAAAATATCCATGGACGATATTTATGTTTTCTTCTTTTAAAATGAAGGACGACGAGTTTAAGTATAAAAATACAGGCTATTTATGAGATAAAGAAAAGACAACGAAACACTGATTGTGTAGCTTACACGGACTCGATTTGTGGACGCAAAAAAAAAAAAAAAAGAAAAGTGGCGGATGGGATGTATAGCGAGGCTGGACTGGGTCTGTCTCTGCAGCCATGGCTGAGGAAGACGGCTGGACACCCTGAGGAAGAGGATGATGCAGCTGGGACGGTCGATACTTTGTCAAACAAGGCGAACCATTCTGCAGTTTTGTTCTATTTTAATAGGCTATTATATTATTGTTGTTCTGATTTTATTTTGAACCTATATAGAGGCTGGCCTCGTTATATTTCAAAAACACTTGCTCAATAAAAGGACAGAGCGGGAATTCTTGACAAAATAGAGACCAAATAAATATTCCAAGTGTTTCTCCCTCTTCTGTTTCCTGTTCAAATTCAAAATGCCTCGGCAGTGTTTGCATGAGTTTGTCTTCACGGATGCCGTGATTCGAGCCACCTCTCCCCCCCTCTTTCCTCCCCTTTCTGAGGAAGGGCAGCTCTCAATTGAATGTTTGGCCTCTTTGAACTTGCTGGGACCTCCGCTGGTAAAGGTGAATGGGAGACACACCAGAAATGTGAGATTATGATATATGTGTAGAGGTTGTGCTGGACATTTTTGGTCAGGATGATCCGATCCAGTGTCCACGTACACAAGGTGGTGATCTGTCCCCCTTTTGAAAGAGGACATTATGTCATAAATACCATCTTTACCACAGTGAACAAACCGCAGTAACACGAGGACTGTATGCCAACCGGTACGGACACGTGTACAATATGTTTATACACAAGAAACATGCATTATTTTTATTATTTAGTGGCTTTATGAATGCCTTGTGAGGAATTTGTTCATTTTGTATTTTACTTTGTTTCAGTGTATTAAAAATCATGTGCTTTCTGTAATTTTTGATGTTTTTATAACAGTGAAAGTGAACTGAGGCACGAGTTTCTAAAAAGAGAAGAAAAAGAATATTAATGAAATTGTTTCACTTTTTTCCATCACATGTGAAAAATGAATCCACCGAAACAAAATGTTTTTCGTTTCTATAATAAATTAACAAAAGTTCCTTTAATGAGTTGATATAACTTTTATAATGTGAATTGGCTTTTATCAGCTAAATTAGCCATAACGTCACAGTTTGCTCAGGAACATCAGGAACATGGGTCTGTAATGTGGTCCCATGCCAAACCGATGGCCTATTCATAACTGGGTTATGGAGCGTTTGGAGAGAAGGACTGGTACTGGTACTGGACTGGCACCAGTAGTACAAGCTAGACAAACCAGTAGATAAAGAACAAAAGAGGAGTGGACGTTGGCTAACTCGATAACGTTTTGCAGCACTGGTGAACTTCAAATACACAGTAATGGTTTTATTTCCCTAAGAGGCTACTAATTGTGATTTGTGCTATAATTAGGCCTATATTCTGCTGGAGCCACGAGCTAACTACAACTATATAAAGCAAAGATGTATTTTTAATTTAACTTTATCCACTGTTTTGGTTGTTCCGATTTAGCTTGTAACCTCAATGCCTAAATATTTGGGTACTATCGAAGAAAACATTTAAGATATTGTTAGTTATGATTAAAACTATTGTCAAACATTTTGACATATAGCCTAAGTTCATGGTATTCACTGGCCTTCCTTGGCCTTCTGCCCATCTCCACTGAATGCAATTGTTGCCAGGTTCTGTGTCAAGGCCGGAAGTTGGGTTTAAAAAAGATTCATTAAGGACTGCCTGGCCCGACTTACAGATTTGCCTGATTCATTTCCTGACATCTTAACCGCCTCTTATTGAACATTTAATAAACACCTGACACGGGAGCGTATAATTATCGGTGTCCAGCTCGCATTACCCTTCCGATATTTCCACACAAAACACAATGTCTTTAGCTATTAATTAATACTGATATCACCAAGTCTGCGCTAGAGTCTGCACTGTTTGTGTATCTCGCAGTTTGGGGCAGGATTTAGACGCCAAAACTATTGAATTATTGATTGTGAGCCTCGCCAGTAATGGAGGAGATGGAACTGGGGAAACTGCTGAGCCGGGGGCGCGCACTGCTGCCCTGTGATGGAACAAAAACACCGGGGCCAGGAGCGCGCCTGTCCTGTGACTGTCCCGGCTCTGCAAGTCTGTCAAGTTCATGATCGGTTGTGTCACAATGATCAAATCAGACATTATTTACTACCTATTCAGGCTTTTCATTTAGAATTGTTGGGCCTATGACAACTCATTTTCTTTCAAGGCATAAAAATCCTGCTTCAGAATAAAAATTATGATTAAAAGCTAAGGAAAACATATTATAGTGATATGAGATTAAACCAAATCTCATAAACTACAAGTGTCACTATGCTCATTATTGAGCGCACCACAAGGACATTCCTGTCTAGTTTAATGAAAAGTACAACAGTGATTTTGAGAAGGGATAATTTAGCTCCAAAAATATCCAGCATCACTTTAAGGACGTATCAACACGAGTAGAGTCTAAGCATTGGTACTGTCTCAGTTTCTGCTCTTTCCACTACAGATTCTTGACCATTTTCCTCCCTCCATGAATACAATCCAAAGTTGTGATTCCTGTGTGCACTGTGAGTCTGCTGCTGCTGTGGAGTGGTCCGGCCACTATCAGCATGCCCTGAGGTGTAGTGCTGGAGCGGAGGGCCTCCGCTCTGAGAGGCCCAGGAGACAATGAGACGGGGACACACAAGTGTTCTCCTGATTAGGCATTGAGACAACCAGCGCTCTCGCCCTCCTCTCAACACACTCTTACCCCCCCCCCCGCAGCCAGCCGGGAGCCAGCCCTGCAGGCTCTCCCTGCTTCTCCACACTGGCTTTTCCTTCTCGCTTGCTTCCTGCTTTCCTCCGCTCTCTCCTAACTTCCTTCCTCAGCTTATATGTGCTCTCACTTTTTTTTGTGTCATTGGTTTGGAGGAGTCAAGAGTGGGCCAATTATATGCAAGTTCATTAAATAAATGAAAACAGCTCTGGACACATATAAATCCAAATGTATGTAAGAAAACATACACACCTACACCCTCAAATCATAACAGCCTGGTGAGTCACAACAATGCTCCACACCATGGAATCCTTCATATCAACTGGTGCTGCTTGTTGCTATATTTACCCCACTACAGCCCTAGAGACAAATACACTACCCTCTCATTTCCCACACTTGGCCTTCTATCAAATTGGGGCATGTTAAACAATCACAGAGCAATTTTTACTGACAGCAGAGGGTTTTTTTTTTTGCAACTGGATGGCTAAACGTGATTATATACACTGTTTGTTTGTGTGTGTATGAGTTTATGTGAGAAAGCATGTGAGAGCTACCTTTTCTTTTCTTTCCTTTTCTCTGAGGGCTTGCCTTTGTTACATGTTGGAAATACTCAAAGAGCAGGGCGCACATAGCACCGCACCAAAGACAACAGCCATGAGGAGCAACAGCAGATAAAAGACCAACTTCAAAGACATCAAATGGAGTGAAAGTGAAAAAGAAACCTGCTGAAAACTCTCCCCAATAGCACCCAGGCCAGCAATTAGGACACTGAATCACTGGTGTGACATGCATGCACCTTATAGGCCTGGGTGGCTAACCGCAACACTTGGTGTGGGTTGCAGTCAGCAGAGAATTACAGCATTCATAGAGCTTGACTGTAAGACTGTATTTAATTTCACTGTAGGATGAAAAGTGGGTGTTCACACAGATTTGACCCCTGCTATGACCAGGGAGGCTTAACTGTGGTGATTACAGACACAGAAAAACAACAGTCTCTATCTCCAGCTCCAGCTATTCAGCAGCTAAGAAGAACAAAACAAAACAGAGGTCAGAACAAAACAAGAAGTCTAATTGTTTCACTGTTTCCTCTTTAGGTGCCCCAGGGCAATCTACACATTTTTATGTACTGGGTGCATTTTATTTGTTATTAATTCATTTCCAGTTGCAGCTGGTTCACAGATTAGGGAGATAACATAATGTATAACTCCCTGCCCCGGGGAGGAAGACATAACAAGGGTGTGCGTTGAGACCTGTGGGCATTAGTCACTCTGAGGGGATTTTATTGTTTCCACTGAAAAAAGGTGACATTTGGTGTATTGTGGATGCACTGGGGGTGAGTTTGTGTGCACCTTTTGTGGGTATGGATTTATGTGTGCACTGTGGTCTCACAGAGGAAGAATGTGAGATCAAAATGAAATGCTAAGACAGAGAGAGAGCGAGAGAGAGGGAGAGGGAGAGTGATGAGGGGCACACAGTAAATGTTAAACATTTGGCCCAGTGCGCTCTGTATTTACAAGCTGGTAAGATCCAATCATCCGTGTGTGAGTATAATCGAGTACTTGCTTTTCAATCATCAGATTTGTTTTGTACACAGACTCTTAAATTACAAAAAGCCTTTTGGAAACACAGGCCTAATTCAACTCATATTGAATGTATTCACGCTGCCTTAAGTTTACAGAATGTCATTTTAAAATGTTACGAAATGACAAAAAAGCCGACAAATCACCCAATATTTGTATCAGGATGCTCAAGCGTCTTTTTAATGTGGGTAAATCCAGGGAGGTCTGGGATCAATCATTCTGGGGTTAAATGCTTTTTCAACATTCCGTCCAGGGAGCCATTTATGACCATTTGTATGTGTGTCAGCCATATTCGAACACTCTCTGAGCTGGTGACAGACATGTGTGGTCAAGGCAAAGTTTAGATATGAAGGAAAATAGCCCCCAGTTATCAGTATCAGCATCAATCACCTGTGTGCCGTAAATGTTACACTCATAAAGCTGTTAGTTGTTTTCACATAGCCATAAATCTAAGTATGTGCAGTACAAAAATCAATACATCTTACTGATGTTAGAAAACATACAACTCTGTGATGGATATGGTGCAATGTAATTACAGTTTTTCATTGGGTAGTTGCATACAAACACATCATAACTTTATGAGAAATGCATTGGTATTGTGATTGCAACCTAAGAAATCTGTAAACATTTTATGTTATATTTACTATTTGAAATTGGCCTGAACTATTGGCAAACGTGTCCACGGGAAATGTTTATTATGGGGAGCATCCAAGGAAACTGAAAACATGATTATGTAAAGTTGAAGATTTATTTTTACAGAAAAACTCAAGGTATGGACCCTTGGACATGTTAGACTTGTTTAACATGAACTATTCTGTAGTACCCAGCTGTTCAACTTAATTTGAGATATACAGGCATTAAGACCATTAGATTCATTAAGACCAGGCAACCAAAATCTGTCACTGAATATTTCCTCATACACAATGTTTGTAAAATTTAACCAAGTGTTGTATGTCATCTAGTGTTGCACGATATACCGGTACTAGTATGGTACCGCGGTACTGAGGCATTTAAAATGGTACTATACTGCATTTGGATGGGACCGGTACTTGCAGCGCCGCCGGCAGCGCCCACCCGCAACAGAGGAAAACAGAGCAGGAAACAGCTTCCTCGTCCTCTGCTCACTGAGCAGCGTGGACTGGAGCAACAAACGGAGCAGAAGGAAAGCTTGGAGAGAGCAGAGACGTTGGAGAGGGAGAGAGCGAGAGAGAGAGAGAGAGAGGAGCACGGAGAGGAGAATGGCTGCTGTAACAGTCACCACCCCGCAACTTGTGGACAAACGAGGGGCGCGAAGTGCTATATGGTAGTACTTCGGCATAAAAACAAATGAGCAAGGAGAGGCAATTAACGTTGATGCGCCATTGTTTCCTGTCAGACGCTGTCATTCTACATTAAAGTCAAAAAATGCCTCTCTGCATCTCCCCCACCTCTTAAAGATAAAACTGAAAAGATTATAACAGGCAATTACTACTGAACAACAACTACTAAATTTAATTCTATCGGGGTA